ATGCATAGAAGAGGTGATGCAGGCCCAAACGTGAAGGAGAGCAGTCTTAGGTTGTAAAGGACCACAGAGACAAGAGAACAACAGAAAGAGAGGGAGGGGGGGGAAGAGAGAGGGGGAGGGGGGGGGGGGGGAGAGAGAGAGAGAGAGAAACAGAGAGAAACAGAGAGTTTGGCGGTAGTTACCAAATACGGACCTCGCCCATTCCCCTTGTAAGCCCCCCCAATCAGTCGTGCCTGCTGAATTCGAAATGTTTGGTTAGCCGGGATGCCCGACCAACCCATGGCAGATCTGGTTTGGCACAATAAACGCGAGGACGATGACCAGCTTTTGGGTCATCCTTGTGAAACGTGGTCTGGGCTGGCGAAAACCCGGCATACCGCTTCGTCCCGGCATTGTAAGGATGCGAGGTTTATAGTCTGCCAACCACGGCATGCGTATACACGAGAACACCCTCCCCCCACCAGCACACATGCACACTCAGTTGGCACAACTGTATGGACAAACGAAGTCGACGGCACCCCACGTGGCGAACGAATGCAACAGCTATTCCACATGAGAGAGGGGAGTTGCAGTGCACAGAATGCAAGGGTGAACATAACTTGTTCGTTGTGGATGATCGAGACATAAATGTTGAGCTGCTGCCGCTGCTGCTGCCGCTGCTGCTGCCGCTGCTGCTTTCTCCTCTTCTTCGTTGCTGCTCGCAACTGTGCCACTGCTGTGGGCTTGAACGCGCCTCTATTATTAGCGGTGCCAGCCTACCCAAACACATTACATGCCTTGGGCCCCGTGGGCGTTTCCAGTGTGCAGCGAGGTTAACTCATATTAGGCACGTCAAAGGCACTAACTATAAAACTCGAAACACGGAAATGAACGGAAGGGATAATTGCCCCTTTTCAACCAACTTCCGCACATGGACAAAAGGTGCAGTAGACCGAACAAATACGAAAGACCGGACAAATAAACGAGGGAAAAACGAATCGCACAACTACTATTCCTCGAACATGCAGCGCTCTCCCAATTACACCACCTTGCCACGTGCACGCCCCATGCACACCATCAATACCCCACCCAGCCAGGTGCCGTAAAAACACTCCCAACGTAGATTGCACGGGGCAACAATACGCACCATTTGCTTCCAACGTTGGCGCACCACCGAAACTAAGCAAAATGACGTCCGCATCCTGAGTTCTCCCAAATTTGTGTGCAAGACCTGCCTTGGGGGACAAATTACGCGACATGTCGCCTGTCGCAAGCCGTCGGCCTTGGCAACAGTAAGCCCCGCCGTAACGATAATGAGGCCGCGCTGATTCTCCCACTAGCCCGCACCAACAAGAACCGGCTCTACATATATATGGTCACATGAAAGCACCCCCCGCACACACGCTGGTTGTCCAGCGGTTATCCAGCCGCATGGGATCACGAAAGAGAGCTCCAAGAGCAGTGTTCAGCAACAGAAGGGGGATGGCAGATTCCATCAGTATTGCCATTTTCACGCCAGCACAAAAAAACAAACAAGCCTGAAGGGCCCTAGAGAGGCCCGTGGTGTTACCATGTTGTCACAATATTGGGGTGAACAGGCAGCACGGGTTCTGACTCTATCGCAGCTCGGGTGCTTCGCTCGCGTGAATGGCACCAGCCATTGCCATTTGACGTTCCACGTCTTCGTATTTTCTTCTGAGTTGGTAGGTGCAGGCCATCCTGTTGAGCGCATGAGAGCAAAAGTCAGACATATACGGGGAAAGAGTCGGAAGTAACGCCACTTTGTTGCTACCATTGTCAACTGCTGCTGTGCTGTTAGCGCCAACTGTTGCACCGCACGATCTACTGCTGTACGTCGAATAGACCGTAGAACAGATTGAACCCTTCTACCTGCTTGAGCGAAGGCAGCACGGCACGAAAGCAAAACCCCAATCTTCTCGGATGGCCAACCCGCCCACACAAGGCTGCCTATGCAACAAACGCAACCTCGAAACGGCAGGTACCGTATACTGTAGAACCCCGGCGACGGGTTGTACTACTCCCACGCAGTCACCGTCAAACTCACATGTGTATGCAAGAGCCCAGCACAAGGGTGTAACCCCAGGCCGCACATGCTTGCGGCA